TCCCTCTTGCCCTCACGAATGTCGTGTGCGTGCATGTCTGTCGGACCGTCCTTTTCATCCACCCCCCACGAATCTCTCCGGCGCCGCAAGGGGATGAGAACGCCGACACCTCCACCCTCGCTCTCTGTGTACGCTTCTGAACCAGCCAGAGAGAGAGTAGTGGCTCCGCTCTGATCCCTCGCAATTACTTCCCATTATCTGGGTATTAGGATTCACCCCAACTGGAAGCACGACGTGCTCCGCAGACTCCGCCTATGCCTCGAACGAAAACGCTCTCCGACTGTGCCAGCTCGCGATATCCCTTTCTTTGCGATCGGGTCGCCTCTGAACGTTCTCGGCAACAGGTAGCAAAGACGTCGAAATAGGTGGTTTCGTAGATGTAGAACAGTGGTCTATTTTTTTTTTTTTTTTTCTATACTTTTTGTGCGATAATTTCTTTCGAGGAATTTTTCGCCGGTGAGAATTTGCGAAGAATTTGTTTAGAAATGAAACGAAGAGCGTGAGCCCTGTTAGTAGTAAACGAAGTTGGTGGTGAATCACGGTTTAATCATCGAGAGGATCGTTCGATCGTGTCGTTGGAAATTAAACGGAGATTAATTGCTCCTTTGGCTCATGAAGCGCGTTAAGCCTTGAAAATGTCCCAAACGACGGGCACGAAATGTCACGCTGCCAATTAGCGGAATGGTAGTGTTGCAGGAGAGGCAGGCTACGTCGTTTCTGACCCGAGACGAGCTGTAAAATGTCAATCGTGATGCTCTTGCGTGGACAATAGAATTGTTCGTTCTAATGTGAACATTAGTTCGTTCCTTTTTATCCGTAAACTCATCTACTTCCTGGTATTCTCGAAAAATGAAAGAAAAGTAAGAAGTAAAAGATACGAAGAAGCTTTGGTAAGAAATATGAAAAATTCTACGAAATTTGTGTTAATCCTTTTTTTTTTTTTTCAATAAATGATTTTCGTTTTTAATGATAAACATAGAAAGGTGTGATCAAGGAAAGGGAAAAGTCGCACAGCGCGTTACATCATGACATTTTAATCCCAACTTGAACCACAAGCTAACTTTCTACTTCGCTATAAAAAGTGACACGAAACGGACTAGCTTTATTATGGCATTTCGCTATAAAAAGTGTCGCAAGAGATCGATTAGAGAGTCATTTACACGTTTACACTTTCTACACCCTCTTTTGCCTCGTTGGTCGAGTCCTTTCCTCCTTTTTAATTTACACCGTCCTGTTCACGTTCCGTTATTTTTACAGTGTCACACATTCGTTCGATCGAACAAAAAAAAGAAATTCGCCATCTCGACACTGAACTTTATTTTTCTTTCTTTTTTACGAATTTGTCGCACCATCTTCCTAAACACTGATCACTTCTCATCCTTTTGGTAGTCGAAAATAAACTGAAGAAGGGAAGTGTATTTTCTTCTTAACGTTCTATCCTTTTTTTTTTACACGTAGAACACAGTTTGCGGTACTATTTCCAGGTTACTGTTGCAGAAATTAGACTGTTCGAACAATTCTCCGTGAATTTCCATTGCTTACACGTTGCAAGATACTTCTTCTTTTACAACTAAACAAAGTAGCTTGAACTTGTGAAAGAAAAATAAACGTATCGATATCTTTCTCTCTGCAAATTACACCGAGGATTCTCGTGCATCGAGAAAGGAGAATGTTCAACGTCGAAATCTTCGAAGAAAATTGAAATAAACCATCGGCGCTTCTCTATTTCTCACGGCTTCTTTCTTTCTCCTTTTCAAGCGCTCAGGCATTCAACTTGGAAATTCTTTCAAGTTCTCCTCCGCCTGGAACGCGACGCTGCACAGTATTGTGACGCGTTTTCCGGTTGGATCGAAGGTTTCCTGTGTGAAAGGGCAACATCATCCTTCGGCTATCTCATTTCAGCGATGTTGACGTTGAATAGTTTGTCCGTGTTGCGGTTGATGAGACGACAGGCTAACCGAATGGGGATGCGTGATCTGATGAAAACTCGTCGGAGAACCGGCGCGTCTCGAGACGTGGATGTTGCTGGTTCGCGTCGGCGATGGCGTCTCGTCGCCCAGAACGTCGATCTCGTCGTCGTCGGAATCCACCGGAGCGTCGCTGCTCGCTCGGGATTCCCGGCCGCCGCTCAGAGAAAAGTCCACTGGTCGTTCTGTGAACAAGTTTTATTGCGAATTAATTCGTTTGTTGTTGCAGAGACTGTAACGATTTCTCTGCTTTCGCGCGTTTCTAGGTTTTTTCGTGCAATTCTGTAATATGGTATTTATGGATTTTTACATTTTTAGAAATTTAGATTCTTGGACCTTAGTTATCGCAATTTCTGAATTTCTAGACTTTCAGGTTCTTCATATTTTTAGATTACTAGAGTTTCGGTCTCCCGAGTTTCTAGATGCTTGTATCTTCGTACTTTTAGATTTTTTACATTTCTAGATCTTTGGATTTTTGGATCCTTAGCTGTGGTCTCGATTCCTGAATTTCTATAATTTCAGATTGTTAGATTTTTACATTTCCAGAGTTTCGAACTTCTGAATTTTTAGACACTTACATCTTCCTATTTATATTTTTATGTTCTTTTTACATTGCTGTATTTCTATATTTTCTTTGTTCATACGCTACTGATCAAATGCTTCGAATCATACGTCTGACTACACCACGACCTAATCTCCTAACCAAATCTCCTATCAACTTGTAATTATAATTCTACAGAAATGAATACAGAACGTTTGATTTCATGTCCACGTATTTCCCTGTAAAATTGCTGCTTTCAATAATATTTACCGTATTCCGTATTAGATTTAATTAAATTCTACGCGCATTGTGCCCTCTATATTTTCCATATTTATTTCGAAGTCCAATATTTTACCGTCATTTCAAGAATCGCCATTCAGAATTTCCTCGTCGAATAGCGTTCCAGCGATTCGCGCAATTCAATATCGCGCTAAACCTTATCTCCATCGTCGCGTTTAACGAACGATATAATCGCGTCTATTGAAATCGATGCTCGTCATACTCTCCTGTTTGCAAAATAATTGTGGTTTAAATTCCCGTACTGTCGGTTAATGAAATTTCGATTCGTTGTTTGTCTAACGTAAGTACAAAACAGTTTTCCCGTGTAATTTCGATGGAAGATTGCAGAATTATATCCGATAACGTTGTTAGTAAGCAACGGGCTAAGTATAATCGATAAGGTCCGTGAAGTATTTTCGAAATTCGGTTGTACGCGCGAACATAGTGATTGAAAGTTACGATGGGGACAAGTAATAACGTTAAACGGTAATGTAATAATAGGGAACCGCGTAAACATGGTAGAAAGCACGAGAAATTTGACCACAGTAATCTAGAATTTGCGAGTTCTACGGAGGAATTGTGGATATTTCGTAGAATTTCACAACTTTACGAATGTAATTGATAACTTTAGATTGAACTCACCCGTACAATCTCGGATACTATGGAAAATTGTGAGACTTCAAGGTTGAATTAAAATGATTCTACGTTACGTTGTTAAATCACCCTTTCTGGAAAATTGAAAATCTGCGAAAAAGATAGTAGATGGGTCATTCCTTATTTCTCATTTCGAGGGTACATTTTTTCTCTCTGATAACTCCAATTCTCCAGTTTACTTTTTTAATTGAAACAAATTTCATACACCTTTAATTGCAATGTTAAAAATGTAACTGAACAACGAATGTTATAGAGATGTAATTTCCACAATTCGGCTAGGAACTGTTTCATCAAAAACCATCACTTTTGCTCCCTATCTTCGTGCTAAGGAAACAATGTTAAGCTCAAAAAATGATCACATCTACTACCACCAGTCATTCTTAAAAATTAATACATGTCTACTTTTATCTATTAAGCTGAAAACACAAATCCTGTTACTTTTACTATTACAAATCTAGCATTGTGCGAATAAAAATGCCACATTTTTCACCAGTTCAGTTCGTCTTAACTCTGTTTCACTTACAAATCTCGAGAAGACTTTAATTTCACTACGAACCTATTTTCTAAATATTTCTTAACAACATTTCCCACTACTTCGTCCCAAACGACAGAAAAATTGTGCGAACTTCAAACTGAACACCCGCTATACACACTCTCTCTTTTTCTCCTGTTTCTTCCTTAATCATTTTACCCTACGCGCCTCTTTCTTCTCCCCTGCACGCGGCAAACGCGTTAAACAACCGGCTAACTAAATAAATAAACGAAGCACGAGAAATTGAAGAAAGAAAAGAACCGATTCCACGGTATCTTGTCGCGTGGTCAGAAAATCGGCTGATCAAATTGGGTCAGACATGTGCCTGTACACAACTAAGGTCCTCGCAGTAGCCCCAAGTGGCGGCCGATCGTGAATGTAGGTCTGGCCGAGCACTTAGCCGATAATTGACTAATTTTCTCGAAGACCGAATCGAGAAGACAAGAAGTAAGAACGTGGCTGCCAAGACTTGGGAATGATGGAAAGAGAGGCTAAGGGAGAAACTGAACGAGGGATAGAGAGAGAGGGAGAGATGGCGTAGCCAGTGGGTTCCTTAGACGGTATCCGTCAGAGTCTCCAGACGACGAGGCGGTCTCATCTTCTACGTGCTTTCCACCCCTTAGAACCCCCTTCTTCCTCGCTGCCAAGGAGATGTCTACTAACTTCGTTAGCCCTTCCTACCGAACGAAGCCATCTTGGCTACCGAGACGGGGAACTTGGCGAAGGTTATGAGTAGATGCGGTGTAAGTCGACGGGGTTGAACACGGATCGTGCTCACTGCAGTCTGATCATTTGCAGGAACGACGTGGAAAGATCGATTTAACGGGTTAAAACGTAGGTAGAAAATCTACCGCTCGAAGGTCTCTCTGTTATTTTCAGCGACAAGAGAAGTTGTTACTTGCGAAAATTTGGCGATAAAAAGAACTGCGACAGTTTCTTCGTAGGCTGCAGGTATAACGAACATTTGAACAGACTGACAAAGAGAATTTGATTCGTTTTGATGGAATTTTTTTTTTTTTGATTGGATAAATTTGTTTGAAATTTTTGTTCGAAATACTTTCAGGAGATGAAAGAATGTAGAGATGTTAAAGTGTGATTTAATATTGTATTTTTATGTAGGTGTAGAGATTGTCGAAGTAGTATTTTCATTTATGAACGTCGACGTTACAGATTGGAATCGGTTCACGCTAGCAATCGAGTCCAATAATTCCCAGATCGTGACATTTACTACATTATACATGCGTCGATCGTGCACCATTGTGCAGTGCACGGCTGTGTCCGTGTACAAAGCGACACGGTTATCGACAGTTATCGCTCGATCTGTTTCCGTGATGCTGTTATCGCTCTTTCTTGCGTACTGTTTTTAATATTCCAATTTGACACCGTTGCGATCCTCCAAAGAGCACATTCCATCAAATTGCGTAACACGATAAATTTTTCATGAAAAAAAAAAAAAACAATTCGAAATCCACCTTCGTGTATCTCGTACAAAAATGAACAAATCGAAAACAATTCCTTCAAAGCGAATACGTTTTTCTAAAAAGTTATTTTATCGCAGAAAAGTGTGTCGATTAAATTCCGGGGTTAAAATTCATCTGGGAATCCCGTCGAATGATTTGGCGCGAAATTTGAATTTGAACCTTCTTAAATTACAAATTTCATTCTCTACGATTAACTCGTACAATCGTAACTCGCGCTGCTATTCGTCCGATGAATTTTCCCCACCTGCTCTGCCAAAGGAACGATAACGATGCAATCGAGAGAATCGAAGTCTGGAACTTACGGTAACGGTAACACGTTTAAAGGTCGGCCGGACACGAATTGCGGGAAATTGAAGGACAAAAAGCGATGATTATCCATGGAACGGTAGTTAATGATTATAGTTGCTGGAACCACGGTTATGGTCTGGTTAGTTAACTAAAGTTGCGTAATTTATTGTCAGCCGAATTTTGGTTGCATTATATGGTCCATTAGCATGACAACAGGGAACTATTTGACGTACACGGGAATTCCGACGCCGCTGCCCGGCGCGCTCGAATGCAAATTGATAATCACAATTACGAAGTTTATATTAATAACGATTTAATTGCGATACACAAGCCGCGATCTACTTTCCACGCGATTATTACTTTCGCGCTGCCTACGACGGGACCAATTACGCGACGCGAAATCGTTTAATAATCCACCACCTCCCCCTCCCCACCTCGTCGACCGTTCCGAGATACTTCTTTTTTTCTTCCTTTTTTTTTTTCTGTGAAAAACGTGAAAATTTATGTTGAACGATCTGCGATCTAATTATCGTCGTTGGTTAATTGACGGGGACGTTTAGAATTTTCCTCCGAGAGGGAAATGCTCCTCGCTGCCTTTTCTAGTTTGGCGACATCGACGATCTCTTTAGCCGCGCTTCTTTTTATTCTTGAAATATCGGTGAATTAAGTCACGCTCGCGGTAAGGGAAGATTAATTGATATAATTTCGAAATAATTTTGGCAAATTTGTTGTTGAAACGCGATAGATTTGTAGAATTTGCAATTAAGCGGGAGATTTAAATTATTCCGTGAAAATAAGACTTTACTAGACGTGTAAAGTGGAAAATTTATAGTATACATATTAGAATTTCAAATAATTCTATTAAAGGAGTATTTCAATTAGAAGATAAAGCGTGTTCGTCTTATCTCCCGTAATATATCAAAACTTCAAATACAAAAGAGAAATAGACGAAGAGTATTTAATTCAATTTCGCCGAATGCAATATTCATAGAAAACATCGAGTCTGTTACAACTGTGCATTTGTTAATACGATTCTGTTTAACTATGAAACGATGCGCCGATATTAAACGCACCTCTCTTTTTCTCTTGCTCAGATTTCAAATGTTGCGCGTAGAATCCTGCGTTTTCCTTTTTTCCCCTTTCTTTTTCCGCCAAATTACAAATATGATTTATGAACAATTGATTATGTAGGACACGTCGTGTTGTTAATCCGAGCTAATTGATGCGGAGCAACGCGAACGGGCGCATGTGTACGCTGTTTGTCGAAAAGTCGATACACGTGTTTAGTGGTAATTACGTATTGTGGCGCGGATACGAAATTGCATAGGTTCCTGCAATTGCAATTAAACGCTTGCATTACCGACGCGATGCGTGAAAATTTTAAGCATCATCGAGTTTATAATAGGGACGTGGACTAACTTTCCATTTTATCAGCCGTAACTTTCCCTAATATTCCGCGATCGCGTTTGTATCTCGATCGTTCCGTACGATTTTCTCTCTGAAAATATGAAGATTCGACGTTTCGTTACTTGGACCTGCTACACCGTTTAATCTTGAATATGTATTAGGAATGAAATCTTAAATATGGTATTAAAGATTCATGTATGCGCGTGTTTCAGCGGTGAAGTGAGAATTATCTCTGTTTGTGAATGAGAGTTAAGCGATTTTCATTCTGGATTAATGTTGCGAATTATAAGTGAACAATGAGATGATTACCATAATTTCTCACGATTTTGCATCGCTTTTAACTTGTACTCGTTAAGCGTTCTTAATACAATTCCAGCGTGGAAATTGTTCCATTCCACGATTCGTAACAGATAACATTTCATTCTTATAGGTACGTGTTACTTGAAGGAATTTTGTTATCTCAGGGTTTTTTAAATACGTCTTTTATCTTCGAATTTGATCGATTCTCGTAAGTCAGAAGTTTTTAATTGTGTGAAAATAGAGAATACAAAATAATTTCAACAATGTATATTTTCACGTCTACTGTGTTATTTAAATTGTTTTCCATTGGACTTGAGATTTATCTTCGAATTTCAATTTCGAATTTTAATTCAGAATTTTTAAACAATTTTTCCCGCGTTCGCTGTTTTATCTAAATTTTTCTATATTGGATTTTTAAGATGGTATATAAATTTTGTTGGACGATAAAAAAAACACGGTTTCTATTCACTCACCAGCCGGTGATGTAACAGAAACAGATTGACCAGTGCATTGCTGATTGGAATTCTGATTGCCGTTGCTTCCCGCGCTGGTGCTCAATTTCCTCAATTGTTTCTTGTGCTTCATCCTCCGGTTTTGAAACCACGTTTTCACTTGGGTCTCCGATAGGTGAAGAGCCGCCGCAAGCTCGACCCTTTCCGGCGTGCTGAGGTACCTCTGCACCTCGAATCGGGCTTCTAAACCCGCTAATTGTTGATCACTGAACACCTAAATACGACACAAAGAATAGATACTGAACTCACAGTGTCTTAATTACTCGAACGATTTCTATCACACTTCGATGATAATCAGAATCTCTAGCTTTCAGGTTGAGTTGCAGAAATTAATTCGAAGAAACATAGACCTCTGTAAAAAATTGCAGAGATTGCAAAATTTCAAGAAAATTCTAATCTCCGTTAAATTCGAATTTTCAAGCCTAAATTTCCACCACGTACAATTTTATTTTTCAACAAAAGTAGACGCTGGAATATTGTAAAGTAAAGCTGTCGAATTGAGTTACAGAAATTAAGTCAAAGAAACATAGACCTAAAAAAATTTCAGAGAGATTGCAAAATCTCCGTTAAATTGAAATTTCAAAGCCCAAATTTCCATCACATGCAATATCATTTTCCCAACAAAAGTGTACAGAGGAATATCGCACACGAAAGCTTGCAAATTTACCGCTTAAAGCACAAAACTATTCGGTATCGTGTACCAAGACATAGAAAGCAAGAATTACAACAGATTTCACTCACTGTTCGTGCCTTTCGTCGACGACAGTGCTTCAAGGCCGCAAGTTCACTAACCCCTGGCACCACACCAACCCCCATCGCAGTGTTACCAAAAAGTGGTCCCAAGAAAAAAGCCGCCGTAGGCGGTGCGGAAGGGTAGCCAGGCAATAGACTGGCGAATTGTTGATACTGTTGATGCTGCACCCCGTGATTAGACGTGAGATGCTGATGATGAAGTTGATGATGAGAATGCGGTGGCGCGGTGCCACGACTCAAGATATCCTCGATCAAAAACGAGGTTCTACTGGCGGAAGTTCCATTCTGACCTGGCTGAGCCTGTTGTTGCTGGCAAGTCGACTGCATTTTTGCAAAAAAACAAACGTTTTTGTTTTTAACTTTGATACCTTGCAATTTCCTTACGGTTACATTCTTAACGAACAGTGTCACGTTGTCGTTCAATGATTTTCACTATTCTTCACTCGAAACATAATCCTTCTTCCTCCAGTTTATCCCTTCTTTATTCCTTTTTATCGTTCCTCCGATTTAGACCTTTCTTTCCGATTTCTCCTCTCATTTGTGCACCGTTTAACGAACAATTTATCGCTTAATTTGAAAAACAACTTATTCAGCTGCGAGCTAAGTTACCAACAGAGTACAGATCTTGTATAAAACGTGTACAATTGACGTATCACTAGAACCACCTCTGACAGCCGCGTCTCCGAGAACTTCTCACTACCATCACAGATTCCCAAAGTCCTCCAGCTACCGTGCACCTTGTACACCACAATTACAATCTTACAGTCGATACAACCAGTTCAAACACAACTCCTACATCCAGTTCCACAACAATCAAAACCAAACCGAATTCCCCCCTCGAAAAACATCCCTTCACCATAGAGAGTACATCCCCGTCACCAGTTCACCAAACAGAGTAAAACAAACCGAACCGAACCAAACGAAAGATCGGAACACTTCAAGAAGTACACCCTGTTAACCCACTCTTACACGTCGTCGTCGTCGTCCCGGCAAGAAACTCTCATCTTCGCCGGTGTGTACCGGGAATCGTCGCACAAGTAAAATCTCACTCGCGCGTAAAACAAGAAGGAGACCGCTCGATGGGACTCGTTATTCCGTCGCGCGTTCCACCTAGCAAAAATTCTAATTGAATTTTCATAGGCCAGCTGTGCGCGTCGAGCCGGGCAAAAAGGGCCTCCTTCCGTAGGAATAAGCGTCCGCGGGCAGCGCAACGTAGTTCGGCGGCGACGTCGTCGTTTAGGGAGTATCGGTGCGCGATTCAAGGCGATTCAACCCCCCTCTTCACCCCCGCGCGCGCGCGATCATCTCCACCCTCAGCCGTTCTAACTGGTCAAGGAGGGTAAAGCTGGAAAGCGGATATTCGGTGGCCGGAGTGATGCTGGCATTGGTCGGCGTCGCGACGCCGTCCGTCGCCGCGGGTTGGCCCTCTGTTGCCCGCGGGGCGTTACCGACAGTGTCGTTTCCATGGACACGACGTCGCGACGGGGCTTTCCATCCCCCCTTTTTCCACCGAAACCACCACCCCCGTTTCGGGGGTTGAAAGAGGAAACGGAGGAGGAAGAGGAAGAAGAGAGAGAGAGAGAGAGAGAGCGAGTCCTTCTATAACCGTGGTTCCCCATGTTGTTGCGCATTCACATCGACTGCACGATAACGGTGTTCACGCGTGTACTTTTGAGGTAGCTTTTCCTACCGCTTAAATTGTATTTCTTTTTTCCCTTTCGTCTTTCTCTCTATCTCTCTCACTCTCCTGCTCTTTTTTCTTCGCCCGCTTGCTTGATCGGTTTGGATGCTGGCTTTTGGACGCTGCCAGGAGACTGGTAGAACGATTTCTTTCGCGATTTTAGAGTTTGTTTTTCGTTGGTTCTTTCGCTTTTTTCGTCTCTTCGCGTAGGAATTTGTGTGTGAGTGTCTGTGTGGTTTTTTGTTTCGCTTGGTGGGGTGGCTTTGTTTGACTATCGGGAGAGACGACTGGTGGATTTTCTCGAGGTTTGGGGACATTTTGTACAGGGTGTCGCATGGTTTACGGTATCAGGTGGAGAGAACGTTGTGCGTGTGTGTATTTTAGTTCCAGGTAGTATGGTGGATGAATGGTATTTTTAATTTAAAGAGGCTTTAATTTTCATCATTTATACGTTTAGCGGCATTTTTACCTCTGTACCAGATTTAAGTTTGAAATTGTGTTTCGCGTTTCAGGCTCGTTTTATGTGCGTCATTTCGTTTTTTCTTGCGCTGGCTTTTTAAGGTACGAAGCTTTTGGTTTTCATTCCTTGAGTTTGCTGATTTTGTTGAGTGGTTTGGCTTGATTATTGAGACAAAGTGTGAAAGATTTCTTCAGATTTCAGAGATCAATATTCGACTCTCTCTCGTTTTCATCTTTCGAGGCAAGAATCTATATCAGACACGTCAAACGTGTTTGTTAATTACCTTTTCACCTGTTAATCGAGCTCATTTCTCGATTAGAAATTGAATCTGTCGAAAGCACGGTTAAAAATCAGTATTTCAATTCTTTCAATCGCGACAAGAACAGGTAAAAGTCGCAAATTCACGAATAACCAAGTTGTTGATGAATTATCTCAGTTACCGAATCGAAGCAAGAAGTGTTCACAGGAATGTAACACGATAAAATTTCTACACTTTTCGTCAAACTCAACTCGTCTCGCTTATTCTACCAAGTCTCGTTATAAAACTAACCTAACCCACATATTTTTCCAGATACTTAAACTTTCTCCTTTGTCTATATTAAAAAATATTCCACAAAACACTCGCTCTCACACTGCAAACATTTTCCACAAAAATATCAACGAAGCACAAAATAAATGATAAATTCAATTTTCCTAAACTTTTTCATCTAAACCACTTTGACAATCTATTATTTAAAACAAACAAAATTCCTATCACTTTCCCCACTCCTTTCTCAAAACACACCAGTGTCGGTTATCGTTGACTTTTCTACTTGATTTCACGTGAATCATTCCCACAACAGTCGTTCTTCCCGAAAAAACGGCGAAATAATTACCCGTTTGGGGAAAAACAATTTCAGTCGATGCCATTTTTTTTTTGTTTCATCGGCTTTCTTTCCTCTCCTCTTATAAATATATACATATATATTTTTTTCCTCCGTTCACCATCTCATCAGGTATTGATCCTACGTCTCTCCGCGTCGAGGTATATGAAAGCTTTCCGCAAGTCAATACATCTGTATCGAATCTTGAAAGGGTGGAGAATGCGGATCAGGAGGAGCAGGAGCACCGGATTAGATTACTTATCGGACGGTGTATACAGCACGTTCAAAATGGACACGTATTGGTAGTACGTTGGTGTGTATCCTTGTCTGCCTCTGTGCTTGGCGCAGAGGCCACCTTCTCGATCGACTCCCGGGGTTATTACAGCATCACGAAACCGTTTTCGTAGATGCCAACACAATTTTTTCTCTTCCCTCGGCGATAGAGCCTCCGGAGCTTCTCGTCTGCGACCCCTTAATTGCCGCCATCGTGAAATCCTTCAGCGAGTATTTCCAGCAATTCTTCTCTTCTCTTTCGCGTGTAATGCGGGAATATGTACGAGGGAAATAATGATTTAAACAGAGGGTGGTAAATTCGTATGAATCTCTCGGTAGGTATTTTTCTGTCTCTCTTGATGAAACAGAGAAATTCTCTGAAAGGTTTTGAAAATTATACAAGGTTGATGTAAATGGAATTTGTCTGCCTGTTTTGCTTTTTTTAGGACTGTTATGTGATTTTGGAAAGAGAAAAATAGTTGGAGATATTGAGATACAATTTTGTTACATTTTATTACCATAGTCGTGCAATTACTATAAATTAACGTTACCACGCTTTCTGAACCATCTGACCATTTGCCTCGTGTTAATCTAACATTGTACCCAGTCACACAAGATTGCATATAAACGTGTTACTTCGTATAAATTTACTTTAGACACTTGCCAGCAACAAAGCAATCATCCTATGAACAATCACATCTGTTCTAACAAATACACAAAATCCATTTGAACCCAAAACCTCTTCGCAAAATCTTCCTAATAAATTCCACGAAAAATCGCATTTAACACAGTAGATGAACAAAGACCAGTCCAAAAACAGAACGCACCTGTAATGACACAAAAATCGTCTTTTCAATCATTCCACGAAACATCACATTCAACCCAAAAATCTTCCAAACATTAAGTGTAGAAATGAATTCCTTCCGACTCTATCCGAGTTTCTATCGCGATGGTATTCGCAAGCCGCCAGAAAAATGGCAAAATGTCGCAAAAAGTAACGTCAATTATTCCAATAATCGATCCGTTCTCACGTTATCTTCAACCGAAACTTCGATTGTACCCGAAACTCGGGAAGAATTCACTTCTACGCCTAATCAGTTCCACGGGAAATCAGATTTAACACAATAGACGGACAAAGTGGCAATCGAAAAATATTCGAGTCGAGGTCTGTTTGGCAAAACGCACGTGTAATGACGCAATCATCCGTAAAGCCAGGTCTGGTGTATTCATCCCTGGTATTAGAGGTCCTCTCTCAACTTGCCCGACGACGGAAGGGAGAGGAGGAGGCGCGTGCCGGCATTTAGACGGGGTTGCTTCCGCGATTATTGAGTAAATTAACGTCCCGGTAATTGTGTTACCGACGCGTGTCCATTCATCCGTCCCGTCGGTCAGGGCAACCAGCCCTCGACGTCGATGCCGTAAGCCAAAAACCCGTCCGCAAGCTTAACGCTACCGAAACTATCCCCCTCAACGGGGCACGGTAAAACCGAACGTCTCTCTTCTCTACGTCGAAACGAACCCTCGCGGGACTTGTTAGGCGAAAAAATGAGCAAGCTTCGCGGGATCATTTTAGATGCGCTGATCAAGTGTGACTATCACGCATCGTCTGGCACGTCTGATCGTTCCTATCGGCGATCTTTCGGGAGATCTCAAGTAACGGGGAGATAAATACGACGCCGGAGAAACAGTGAAGCTTGCATTTATCGAGGTGAAAAAATGTCGAAGGTGTGTGTGTCCTCGTCGCGTATTTGATGATACGGAAAATCTTAGGTACGGTTGTTTATTGCACGACGTGAGAATCCCTTTAAAGCGCAGATGACAGTGGCACAAAATAGGAAGTGTACATTTCTTTTTTTCATTTTCAATATTTTCTTTTTCGTTCACCCTTAAGTAAGAGTCTTTCTTCGTTGGCTTTTCCGTTTCGGATAAGTAGAACGGCCGAAATCATGTCAGCCAGTAGGACACATTTTTTTAAAGGGACTTACAATTCAGTCAATTTTGATTATCTTCCCTATGAAAAGAGTGGCGAAGTTTCTTAAAGTATGAATAAATATGTGTGCAAAGAATCGATGGTAAAGAGTCTCATGGTTTAACTTCAGTTGATCTTCAGCGTTGTTACAAAACGGATAACGTGATTTTCTAATTTGAATGGAACAGATAATGAGATAAGGAGAACGATATTTTTCGAAATAATTTCGTGAAGCTGAACTTGTATCGTTACTCAGGTACGTTATCCTCTAAATTCTATTCGTCTTAAAAATCTTAACAATTATTTACAATATTGACTATCGAACTTCTGCGATCAGAGGTATTCGCGAGAATGGACAAGATTGTTTAATTAACACTAGAACTACCGACCGGGTCGAAATGACCCATTAGCATCTTTCGAAAAAACGTGAATGTTCCAATCGCGGTTTACTTACACAAAAATTCACTTTTTGGAAAGTCGCTAATGGGTCATTTTGATTTTTGACTCGGCTGGTAGTTCTAGTGTTAATTAAGAGTAGCGTGCAAAGATTAACCAGTTAGTGGGAAGAAACTTCAGAGCATAGAGAAAATAATACAGTGTGAACGAACTCTCGAAACGTTCGTTAGATAAAACTGATACGCTTGTTGGTTAGAATCCTTGAACAGAGGCAATTAAAAAAGCAGATTTGAAAGTCAATACCAATAAGATACATTTTTCCCGTGTAATCGTTTCGTCTTTACAGACGGAGGAGCGAAGTAATCGGTCTTCTTAAATGAATACCTTTGCACCGTGTTATCAAATTTTAATTACATCGCGAGTAGTAACGTCCGAACAAAACAGGAATAATTATTATCGACGTTTTACTACAAAAGAAAAAGAAGAAGAGAGAGAGAGAAAAAATATATATATTACTACCTATATTATCGAATGATTTTAAAATGCAGACACAAACGTGAACGAATTAACGTTATTCCGACTTGTTACGTTATACGAGAACTCCGCATGAACCAAAATGATCAGCATAAATTAACATCGTTCGTTTCACTCGTTTCTTATTCTCTCGTGATTATCTCGCGAGACCGCAGAAAACTTTCGCAACGATCGTGCGTACAGGGTGTTTAAAAAAAAAAAGGAAGAAACGTTAACACTTACGTGAAAGTAGCTATTTCTTTTTCAAAGACACAGAATTGATAACTGTGTCCAAAGATTTTCCACTTATTCAGATTATCCACGTTGACCTGTTCATTGTTTTTCCGGCGTTTATAGGATCTTTGAAAATTCACTTGCACTGTACAGCTCGTGCACTTCCACCCTAATTGAATCCTTAATTTCATATTTTAAGCGCTTCTATAAAATCTTAATTTAACGAAACAAATTTGAAAATGACAGGGTCGAAGCGAAAGATTGTTCAGGTCACAATTGAAAATCTACCGTCTGCGACGTTTGTCAAATTTTTCACACATTTTAGGAACATTCTTTAAGTTCATCTCTAGAGCCATCGGAACACGTTTCTTTTCGTATCGTCGCGATCGTATTTACACAATTTTCTCTCATTGAAATTTTTCAAAACACCCTGTACATCCGATGAAACGTTTTACGGTATTTTTCCTTTTTTCTTTCTTTTTTAGTTTCCCTGAAACGTCGCCGTTAGAGGCAAGGTTCTCGGCCGTCTGACCTTGTTTTTCATCGACTAGAGATAGAAATTCGTCGAGGATTCAAGCTTTCAGAACTCGTCGTCGTTCCTGGCCCTCTTGTAGAAGGCTCGCGAGAAGCTGGCCGGTCCTTGTGCGCCGCAGAAGAAGAAACCGCGACGCCACAAGATGAAGATCGTCAGGCAGACGGGAATGGCGAGTAGAAGACCGCACAAAATACCAATGAGGATCGTCGCGTCTCTTTCCGGTCGCGCCCCGTTCAAGTCCAGACAACGGAGCTTTCGATGGGACAAAGAGGTTAGGTTCTTCCCGGCGTGTTCTGGCGGTGCGGCGCAGGTGAGCTTGTACATTTCATCCCCCATGAGTTTCTTGCCCAATGACGGCAGCAACATACCTATCTGTGAATTGTTTATTTATTTTTATTATTCTTCGTTTACTTATTTACTTCGCCAGTTTGAAGGAGTTAATTTTGAAAGTTTCCTAAAGAGGGACGATCGTTTCGTTATCTCCCTTTTTTTGTATCAATTAACCGAATTTCGCGGGTAAATTAATTTTAATTGTTCCGAGATCGAATCGTCCAGACTTGTATTATTATTTGCTCGTTTATTTATTTATTTATTTTCCAAAAGAGGGACGTTCGTGCCGCTATCTCCGTTTTTTATATCAGTTAACTGAGTTTTGCAGGTAAATCAATCTTAATTATTCCAAAATCGAACCGTCAAGACTTACATTACCCTTCCTTCGTTCGTTCGTTTATTTATTTCGCAATTTAAGAAGAGGTACACATTAACTTTGCAATTTTCCAAAAAAGGTACGATCGCTCTATCATCTCCCTTCGCTACGCAACGAAAGATCGAGACTCAAAGTTACCTCTCCTCGTAAACAATACGTAGAACACTTTCTACTCGCTATTTACAACAATTTCAAACAGAGAACAAGAGTAGCAAAAGGTCGAAAGTTATTTTCGTGTTCGGTACAAGAGGGAGCGTTTAAAATTTAACTTCACCCGGAACAACTTGAATGTAGAAATACTAAAAAAAAAGACACATCTCTGTAGAAAATATTTATCAATATGACGTAGAGAACATTAACCCCTTGACGTATGATTTCTTTTCCTGACTGTGCGTCCGAGTGTCAGCTGTTTACCGTTTCAGTACAATATTAAGTAAGAAAAGCCAGTGTATTATAGGTTAATGAAATTTTGCAACCTTCAGTTTAATAAACGAATTGGAAAATTGGAATTAAAATGAATTTTTCTCACCGATATGACTGTTTTCATCAGATCTTCGCCAAAATTTGTGGCACGAGTCTGACTCGTTATTATACGGCAAGGGGTTAAAAAAGTGAATTCGCAATATCTATCTATACATCTATATATCGATTCGCTTGACAGAATATTTACCAAAGGGGATCTGCTTTTTAATTCAATTTAAAACATTCGAACGGAAGGACGAAAAGGGAGAGGAGGTTTAAAGAGTGTGTGCGTAGGTCGGTCGGACGAACGGATCTGCAAATTGGTATCGGCGAGGGAGAGAAGCACGATCATCGATCGGTTCGATAGGAGGAGGCTCGCAGGATTCGAACGGTCCGCGGAAACCGTGTGTATTTCGTGATTGCCAGAACTTACCAGATATTGATTATCGCAATCGCAGCTCCATTTGTTGTTCATCAGATCCAATTCTTCGAGCCAGTCCCACCTTGCTAGGAATTGCTGAGGCAAATATCGCAGGGCGTTATTCGATAAATCGAGTTTCTTCAGGTGCGGCCACACCGGTCCCCCGGAGTCTGGCTACAATCATTTTCACGTGCGATACAACAGTTGAACGTAGATATAGTAGACACAGTACCGGCCAAATGGTTCGAATCACTGTGCATTGCAAGTTATGGAACAATTTCCAGAATAAAGTTGGCAATTTTAACCCTGGAGCGGTCTTCGGGTGTTTTTTGACCCACCGCCTTTTTATATTTTTAGTCATTTTTGCTGTTATCAAGTTTACGTTCCTTAACATTGTTTTAAACGTTTATTGTCTAGGTTCATATGCCGCGTTGGAATGAAAAATTATTACACATAAGGTCTTAGGTCCTTTTTCACCCAAAAGTCTTAAGTGTACAGTCGAAACGAAGAATTTTTCCTCGTTCAAATCAATGGAAATAAGGTAAAATACGCAACATCAATTTCAAATCTGTGAAAAATTAGCAGTAGATTCAATTTTACCGTAGATTAGCAGGTGATTCGAAACCTTTGACCGGTAGATCGCGCGAGAGAAAGAGATCTAACCTCGTTAACAATCGTCAATTCTGACAGAAGGGTGAAAATGTATCGTAAAATATGGAAACTCGGTTAATTTTTGTATTACAAAGTTTGACGGTAATTGAGCTCGAGAGTAAATGCGCGAAGACACAAATAAAAAAATTATGTAAATTAATAATCTTATCGTTGTCGATTCTAGCAAAAATTTACAGTGAAAAAATCACATCTCGATTCTTCTTCATATTGTAAATTATGGCAAGGCTCGAGCTGAAGATTAAATGTGTAAAGAAACAAATAAAAAAATTACACGAATTACCTATTTGAGAATACTAAAC